AGAGATAATTATAGGTAAAGTCTGCTCAAATGGCATTGAGACGCTATGATATTCATCATGTCGTATTTGATATTTTAGTCATAATTTTGATCTTTTAGTTTGAAAATCAGGGACAGTGACAAGAAACTTTCAATGGATCCTTGTTCCTCATGTCCTGACTGTAGTCCTGAGAATTTTCATCAGATTTTACTCTGTCGATTTTGGTGACCTTTATGAATAAAGCGATGAACCTTGTTTTATTTCATGACACTGTCCTGTACAGGTAAAAAGTCCTATAGGAGGTTTTATTACCACAAAACTCATTTTACACATAAATACAGCAGAAATCAAGCCTGTAAATATCTCTCTGAGTCATGACTGTCTAGAATGAGTGAGAAGCTCGAGTCCTGCAGCTGTACAGTTGTCAGAGCTGTGTTTACATCGTGTTTACATCATGTTTACATCATGTTTACATGGACGGGACGGCCTTAGTATAAATCTTTTAGTCAAGAACTAGAGAAAAGAAGAAGAACATACTCACTGATTATGTGTGGATGTCATATAAGTGTCTTTATATCACGGTTATTCCATATCAATTTATGTGCAATGTGAAGCTACGAGCTAACTAAAGAGTGCTAACATTAGCCTGCTAACACAACAATGCAGGACACAGGTGATTGCAGCTCCAGCAAAGGACAATTTTGTCTGCCGCTTGTGCAGAAGCTGCCTTAGAACTTCTGTTACTAAAAAAAACAATAAATCGCATCAGTGTATTGTGACGACTACGTATACCAGCGGATACTATATCGCTAAATTCAGCCTATGAAACACGACCACATAGCTTTTTATGCAGCCGGCAACTCTTATTCCAGTATTCCTCGATTTAGCAGCTTCATCAGGTCTACATGGAGGAGGAGGTCGAATTGGTGCTAAAACACTCATCCAGGCTGGTGTCACTTTTGGTTTAACATGTGTTTTAAAAGATAAAAAGTATATAAATATTACAAACATTAAAAGTGCAATAGGTATTAGTTCAAGGGTTTCCTCTGAAGGTGATTCAAGTGAGAGGTGAGAGTATTTAATAGTCGTTGAAATGCAGGGGCGATATCGTTTCATAGTTGACTTAAAGGAAAACTTACAGAATCAAAGCTGAAGGCAGCAAATGTTCTCTGTCACTGAGGAATCTACAAACATTTTACAGTCACCTTTAAAGTCCGCAGCAGGGGGTTTCATCTTCAAAAGACAAGTTCTAGGTGGAGTATCACGTTTAAAATGAAACCCAAGTTTCAAACTCACAGCTTTAGAAGATGGAGTGCCTCGTTTTACATTAGTTTGACCTCTGAGGACTCGTTTATCAAACTTTTCTTCCACAAGGAAAAAAGTGTCTCTAAGCGCTGAGTGAAGTAAAAGCTCACAGCTCTTGTCCCCTTTGGCACACACACACGCGCACGCACACAGACAAAGAGAGATAAACGAAGTCATGAGACACTGCAAATAAAACCACTTCAAGTTTATTTATCAGAGCTGCAACATTTCTCCAGTCCCTCCACGCTTCATGTTCTTCATCCCCCCCCGCGTGCTCATCAGCCTGCAGCAGATGGACAGTGAGGGGTTAAACCTCCTCACTGTGTTGGCTGCTACCCTGATACACACACACACACACACACACACACACACACACACACACACACACACACACACACACACACACACACACACACACACACACACACACACACACACACACACACACACACACACACACACACAGTTTGCCCCAATGTTTCACAGTCACAGGGTTGGAGTGGCGTGACACTGTGCCACAGAGTACCATCCTGCTCCTCTGTGCCGCCACGCAGAGAACCCGCAGCTCGGAGCGAGAAAATTAGCCCGGGGTCTTATCTCCGGCCCCGTTGGAAACACGCTGAGGGCCCGCAGGAGCTGGCACTGGACTGGACTTGGCACTGGACACTGTTTGTTCTCTCTCTCTCTCTCTCTCTCTCTCTCTCCCTCTCTCAGAGAAGTATATTGGGGCATGAGCAGTTAAAAATGAAGGGTGAAGGTTTTTTGAAAGTAACTGTAACACTTCAGGTAAATAAGTCAAACTAAGTTAGGGGGTAATTTTGACTTCTCATAATTCTCATAATTGTACATGTGAGATGAGATGAGATGAGATGGGATCTCTCTCTCCATTAATGGAACTACAAGCCCAAAAAAAAATCTTAAAGAAAAAAAAAAAAAACGGGATTTTCCAACTTAAACAAAAAAAACAAACATCCATGTTTTTTTTCCTCATACCTTGCGGTTAGTTTATTCTCAACAATTTGAGATATTTTTGAAATGAGATAAGGAAAAAAATGATTTCTCCTCCCTAATTCTTTCTTCGTCCTGACCTTCATATTCCTCTCTGTGTCTGTGTGGAGGACTTCAGGCATGAGGACACAAGTTAGACACACACTTGTAGTATTCACCTCTGTTCCACCACTAATAACAAACTCTGTGTGCCAGGCTGGCTCTGTTTTCAACTGTTTGCTGCAGACAGCTGCAGTGAAAGTTACCTCCTTAAGGACAACGGCTTTTAGAAAAAGATAAGCAGATATCAACAGAAAAAAACAAAACAGATCGAAACACACACACTGGTATAAACATGTGAGGCTCAGCATACACAGCAAACCTTTTACACTGACCCCTGAACATCCACACAGAGCTGACTCTCCTGTTACCTCCAGGAGCTGCCAGAAATATCACACACGGATACTGACAAAAGGAGTAACATTAAACACAGTGTGTCCTTGGCTGTGAGTTAGCAATCTCCTGAAGTCATGTAGCCAGAAAGCCGAGGAAAACTTCCCCAGCATCGAGAGGAAGAGGTGAAAAAGTAACAGTGTAGAAATAAATATCCACATGGGAGCTAAGACACTGTTGAATGTGACGTTGCTTTTTTCATTAGCGGCTCTGTGAAAAGTGATTCATAAACACCTCCGCTCGCTGCTCTGTTTCCATATAAGGCTTATCACAGATATCCTGCAGCGTCTGATGTTGACACCAAAACACATCATGCTGTTTGTGGAACACTTTGAGCAGAGGTGACGGACACACAGCACACAACGCCGCTCTTTATGGAGGTTAGAGAATGATTCATGCTCTTTATTTTGATTTCTCAGCGGAGGCAGTCGAGTCTGATTATTAAATCAGGGGGGCCGGAGCTTTTCAGGGGAAAATCTGATCCCAGGGCCAAGGCAGCAAGGTGTTGGACAGGAGTCTAATGTTTCACAGATTTTTATGATTAGGGGAAAGGAGTGACTTTTTAGCGTGCTCACATGGTTTGTGTTAGTGTGATGAGGACATTCCAGAGGAAAGGGTGGATGATGTTACAAGGGGGGGGGGGGGGGGGGGGGGGGATTGGACAGGATTAGAGGAAGTGTTTTTAATCTGTGCTGGTGTTTCTAAAAAGCTCCTAAAGCACGAGTTCTGTCAAGACTCATCTCAGGCTAAAGTGAGCTTACATCACTCTGGAAGACCTTGAAAAAAACTTTTGGAGGGACTGTGTCCGACTCTCCTCGAAGACATCTCAGTCAGTGACTTTTTTTTGTTGTAAAAATGAGATGTTGTATGTTCCTTATTTACAAGCCAACATCTGGATTAGATGGGTTGGATAATTTCCCATCATGCCCCTGGTGGAAATTCACAAGAAGGGAGCAATCGGGCAGAAACAGAAGCACACTGCACAGCTGACATTTGTGATCTCCACCGATTTTGAGACTGAGACTGAGACAAACCCAGTCCAACAGGGACGACCCCCTGCTGTGAGGTGCACATGCAACTCAGGAAGACTTGAGAGCTGTTTTCACATATGTACTCCTCAATAATATTTTCAGAAGGACTGCGGGATGTCTCCTAAAGCAAGACATGACGACATGAAAGTAGCAGAAGAAGCAATATCAACAAAACAGAAGAAGAACAAACTTGGTGAACATAAAAAATAATGCAGCAGTTTATTGCTGCAGAACAAAATAGTGGGGGTCTCGCAGGAGAAACTCTATGTGAAGTCCGAGGGTCTCATACACCTCTTCCTGCAAATATCTGGAAGTGTGAAAGCCCTAAAGGAAAAGTTGGTCCAGAAAATGTCTAGAAACTTTCAGGAATGCATGTGGCCAAAGAATTGTTTTAATTGCAATAATTTATCAGCTGCTGACTGTCAATCCTAAATGAAATTTCAAAGTGATATTCTAACACTGAAGGTAACAGCCTAAATCCAACAGCAAAGATTTAATTGGCCCTTCATTGCATTTCATTAAAGTGCCACCGCTGACAGGAGCGCGTTGTATTTTAAGTGAACTAACATCTGCTAGTGAGAAGCTGCCAACCGTTGGTGGTCTCTCCTCCTCCTCTCTGGGAGGAACTTTTTTCCACTCTCCTGTCCAGTGGCGACAACTGCTTTATCTTTTCTCAGGAGCTAGCTGTCATCCATCTACACTAACAGGCGCGGCTGCAAAGACCCGGTCACAACAAGACAGAGGCCAGGCTCTCTGGAGCGTGAGGAGATAGGACGGGATGTCTGAGTCCGGGTAGGAGGGGGTGTGAGCTGCCAGGAGATCTGACACTGAGGTCAGGGGTGGTGTCTTAAGTTAACTCAGCCGAGTGATAGTGATGATACGAGAGCAGAGAGGGCTTTATCTGAAGGTATGCACACTCCTCTGTTTCTACAGGGCAGCTATATTGTGTAATCTTTGAGTGTGATTTACTTTGTGTCTTATCCACAACCACAACAATGATAACACAAAGTTTCTAGGAATAAAATCATCTATACTTCATGAAAACACAGATTATTTTCATTTTTCTCTTTGTCACTGCATGTAACCGGTCCATCAGGCTATGTGTCTGCTCTGAAACAGCACAGAAAGGAAACACAGATCTGGTCCAATTGCACCCACACACACACAAAAAAAAAAAAAAACACACACATTCATGCGCACACCTACTCAGGCATTTACAGCCAAAAATAATCGAAGCACACTTACTTGCCACCTCCAGCGACGCATTGCGACTGACCGCCTCGCCCAGGTAGTTCCTCGCCACGCACACGTACACGCCTTCGTCCGGTTTGCTCCGCCTCCCGTGCACGATCCTCAGGAAGAAGAGGGAGCCGCTGGGCAGAAGCATCCTGTGGGACCGGGGGTCTTCTCGGTCCGTCTCCACGCGCTCGCCGTCTTTGTACCATTCCACCATGGGGATCGGCCGTCCCTCCGCCTTACAGTTGAGGGTCGCCGGCTCGCCTTTGGACACGATCAGATCGGACGGGTGCTCGACGACCCGAGGTGCTGCATCCTCTAGCCTGGGCCGGGATGCTGGAAGGTAAGAGAAGAACAAGAGGTTTGTTATAATGCTGCACACGTGGTCAGGCTTTTTAGGATGATTTGATTTTTGTTTGACAGTTTGACAGGAAACAGGGGGAGGAGAGTGGTGGAGTGGAGAATAGAAGTTGCTCGTCTGAATCGAACCAGCAACTTTGTAGTCAACTCAACAACCAAGTCTACCACAAACTGGATTTAAAGCCTCTGTGAGGAGTTTCAGCCACCTGTGAAACCAACTGTCATCAATACTGATGCATCTCTATGATCAACAAAAGATGATTTTGACCGCCGGTTCAAGTCCCGGTACCAAATCTGGAAGTTGGTCTGGTAGCTGGAGAGGTGCCATGGCACTTCCCGAGCACTGCAGAGCCCAACCCTCAACTGCTCTGGTGCGCTCTCTGCTTAGCAGCTTGTAGCAGCCCCACTCTGACATCTCTCCACCAAATGCATGTCCACAGGTCCTTTTTGTACATGCGGGCCTATCTGTGTGTGAGAAGCATGTCTCTATAAATAACAGAGTGTAATCCCGAATTTCCCTCAAGGATTAATAAAGTATATCAAAATCAAAAAAAGAAAAGGAGATCATCGGCATAGAGGGAAACTGCTGTCATGAGGAAGTTGTGTCCGGGGAATAGAAGTTTTGAGCAACCTGAGGAAAATGACTTTACAGTCTTCATAGCAAATATTCATTGTAATTAATAAGTTTGATTGACAGCAGGATGACATTTTAGTGAGTCAGAAAGCACTTCCTTTCCAACGCATGTACACACAGAGATCAGCAGAGGAATACGATACTGCTTTAAATCAAATATTGGCTTTTATAGTAACAAACTGATCTCTAAATTGGAGCCATTTATTTTAGAGCTGAAACAATGGATGATAAGGGTGGGGGAAAAATGTATTAAGATTTTTTTTTTTTTTTGGTGGGATCCATAACCGGGACGTCATGTCCAATTACATCAAGACAGCCAAAAAAATCAAAACAATTGATACTATCAAATCGCAAACAGCAATTTGTCGCAACTTTCTCCGAATCATGATACAAATCAAATCTGCACCCTAGGATTTAATCAGGAGAAGATCAGATCGTCCAAGCCCTAATGGATAACAGGTAACCGAGGAAAGGTAAAGAATGATCACCCTGTGTTTCTGAGAGTTGTAGGGTTTATTTAATGAAGATGTGTTTCTACATGAAACTCTGAAGGTAAAGGGTGTGGTCATGGAAGAGTAAGCTCTACAATAAACACAGAGCAACTTCTCTCACTTCCTGTCGTCGGCCCTCGAGAGTAAAAAAAACCCAGTTGTCCTCTCTCCAAACCTCTGAAGCTGGGCGAGAACACGGCCGTGTAATGTAATTGCTCAGCAGTTAAATTCAGAGTGTAAATCAAGAGGACATGTGAAATTACACGCTCTAAATTCTGCATCTATCAAACCAAAACAAAATTCCCCACAGCAGTGCAAGGGGAAAAACACGAGGGAAATAAATGTGGTTGGACTGTGGTAATCAGAAACTCAGGAGAGGGACAGCGGGCTGACAGAACGACTGAAATATATTTAACATGTCACCAACATTTTATTGGATTAACTCCAGAAAATACTGGAAGTAAGAATCTGTACGATTGTTAAGACATTTAAACTGTCTCTAATACAAAAGGAAACGATTTTCATAGCTCTGTGTGTGTGAATCACTTATCAATATAAATGTATTATACTTGTGGTCGGGGGGTTTTTGCAGTCTGCAGGTTTCTAGCTTTCATTTCGAAAAGTCTGATTGAAAGAAAGAAATGAAGACAGAGGCAGAGAGGGAAGGGAGGTTATTCCCACAGGTTTTCACCAGCTTTGAAATAGCTTCTTTTTTTTCCTCCCCCCCTCTCTATCTTTCCTCTTCCTCCTCTAATTTGAATGACAGCATGTTGGCGGTACAATTATGTTGAAAAGGCAATAACACAAACTGAAGCACCACGAGACACGGGTGAAATGTCCCCCCTGGAGAGCGAATGAAAGGATGATAACAGGAGGTGCGTCTTTACAGTGTTTTTCTTTGAGTTCTGCAAGTGTTCATTATTTTTACAACCGGCTATTCCTGATTCTTCTTACCACTCAACCAGAGAGTGATTTCCAGACTCAGTTTTGCATGTGTACATCGGGCCTGAGAGTGGTGTATTATTAGGCGCCGGTTTCATTTGTAGAACATTAAAAGCAGGAGATTGGGAGGGAAGGTTGCTGCATAGGGCTGCAGGAAGAAATCATTTTTTAGCCCGAAAAAATCATCTTTTTTTCATTTTATGTTAAATCTTCGGTTATTTTGATCTCAATTGCTTCTTTTATTAAAATAAAAGAAGCAATTGCAAGCAATCTCTCTCTCTCTCTCTCTCTCTCTCTGAACAAATGAACAACATGGAAATAATGTTGTTGATTTTGTGAATTTCTGCTGTGATTAAAATATCCATGTACTATATAATCCAATATTTGTTATGTGTATATAGTTAAACATCTTTTAAAAAACCTGTCAAATTTCCAATCGCAAAAAAAAAAATAATCTTCAACTATCAAAATATTTATCTTCCTTTTGACTGACTGTTGAATTATCGTTGCAACACTGGTCAGTATGTCAAAAGGCGAAAACCAAAAGTCTTTGTTTTTTTACTAAGATGTTGCTAACATGACATAATTCATGGCCCAGTTCAAGTTGAAACAAGTTGATAACAAAGTAATAAAAACAACTTTTGGTGACAGGGGATTGTATTTTTGCTGTATGGTTTTAGTAAGAATAGAAGATGGAGCCATCAGACAAAAAACCAAGAGTCTGCTGCGGTTTGGATAATCCTCAAACCTCCAGCAGGGGATCAAGATAGCATCTTGTTTCCCGTGTTTCTCTATCTACTGTGTAAGGACAGCTGACAATGTGCCTACAGGAACAGTGGAAACAGTGTAATCTGCAGGACACATTATATAAAAAAAAGGGTCAGAATTGTTCCTCATACAGGTACATGATTGTGGAGGAGTTCAAAGGTTCAGACTCTCCTGATAACACCTGATAAGAAAAGCAGCCCTGCCCTCAAAGTGACAAATCCTCCAGAAAGTTTTGGAGGATTAAGAACTCTGCTCAAGTGCTTTTTCACTGATCTGAATATAGAGCACAGTCTGATGGCCCTGCTCTGCCTGCAATTACACTCACACGGATGGAGAAAGAGGAGGCTGTGAAGAGGAAGAAATGGTGTTGAGGCTTTGAAGTTTCTTACAGTTAGACTCAGATAGCAGCCGGGCTTCTGTCTGACGTCTGCTTCAGAGCACTGAGAGTGCAGCAGAATGTGATCGGCTGCACCTCTTAAAGGTTATATTTCATAGCTGTTAATGGAAAAAGCACATTACTGAGATTTTCTTTTATCCCGCTGTTTCTTTCACTGAAGCTGTGCATCATAGAAAGCCAAGGTTTAAAGGCAAATAAGTTTGATACTGTTGAGTAATAGCATCTTCAAAAACATAATGTCAATGTTGTCAAAACTTAATGAAATAAAATTCTAATTGAGTTATCAAATATGCTGTGTTGTCTAAGGATTCACCATAAAAATCATCATTATCGGCTGACCGTCACTTTGTCTTATGACCACTAATGTGCTTCTGACTTTTTGACTGAATTACAGAGGAATGGATGGATAGATGGATGGATTGATGTGGATGACTGGATGGATGGTCGCATTGGCCGATGGATTGATTAATGCATGGATGGGTGGATGGTTGGACAGATGGATGTGCATTGGGTATTGCATATCTGTACTCTGCTATTTTGAAAAGCTTTTTTTTTTTTTTTAAATTCATATATTCATAATTGATTGTATTATAAATGTCAGAACTCACATGTGACTGTGTGTTACTGCTACTCCTTTATGTCCAGGACTACAAGATAAAGCACTACTTCTAAAAATGAATAAATAGAGCTGAAAGCTTTTTCAAAGTTTCCTCGTTTGGAATAAAAACAGAAAACAGTCATTATTTTGCTAAGAGCCTCTCCACTCCCTTAGGGGCTCCATGTGGTAAACAGAGACTGTTCATTTAATAGTTTTAAGGTAACATCATAGCAAAACTGAGTCTGTCTGGGCAGGCGGTGGGGGGGGGGGGCAGAGCCTTTAAGAGCTGATTCATACATTTTACAGTGATGCTGGTTTGAATGAGTCAAGTGAAATGTTGTAAAGGTTTCTAAAAAGGGAAGAGACCACCATGTGTGAGTGACTGAGCTAGAGATCATCGAGAGAAGCAAAGATGTAACCACTGTACACCAGTGGTTTGAGATGGCATGCCCATCTGTGATTATGTATCTCTGGCAAATCATCCACATCCTCAGCATCCATCAGCCCTGGGGCACCCCAGAGCTCAATTCTAAGCCCCCTACTATTCTTCCTGCATCCTTCCATTATAGGTCATAAAACCCAAAAGCATAATGTTTCTTTTTCTAACTTTATGCTGACAACACTCCGTTCTATCTACTCAAGAGGTGATTTATCATCTCATTAAGTGTCAGTCACCAGAAATTTGTACTTTTTCAGTGACCCTAAATCAACAAGTACAAGTACAGAGATTTGTTCTCATAAAATTGTGGACAATTAATATGTATATTTTTTTGGATTATCCAAGGAAAAATGATGATCTCTTGGCTACTGGCATCTACAAAGAGACATGTTGTACCCGTTACTTTGATGTTACACAAATGTTCAAGTCAATTTGGATGAAAGGAAAATAAAAGAAGGCGCCTACATCAGAGTTTATTTTCAAGGATGACGAGACATCTTGGTAATCTACGCAGCCATCATAGCACAGGCTTCTTTTGTGCAGCTGCAGGCCGTACATCAGTATCACAGCCTGTGGTTCAGATCTGC